CTGGAAACCCTGCCACAGACATTGCTGGCAATATACAAACATTTTCTGTAATCATTATGTGGTAATTTCAACTCATAAGCCATTTATTCAGTCTCTAGACTAGAGGTTAGGAAAAACAGATGTTTGAGTCAGGCATGGTGGTATGCACCTGTGAGTCCAGCATTCTGGGAGGCTGAGGCATAGGACTGCAAGAGCAAGATCAAACTGGGAAAATTAGGAACGAGGTAAGGCCGTGTCTCAATAAATGGGGCATGGGGGCCAGGGATTTAGCTCAGTGGTGCTGCCGCCTGCCTCACAAGCACAAGGTCCTAAGTTCAATTCCTGGTACCAAAAAGGGGGGGGGGTGATGACGGGGGGCTGGGGATGTAGCTCAGTGCAAAGGCCCTGGGTCTAATCTCTAGTATTGGAAAAGAAATATATAATATATGCATATTACATATTCCTGTTGTACTCGTGTGTATGCCTATTAGTGGAGATTGAATTTAGGACCTCTGCACTAAGGCACATCCCCAGTCCTTCTTATTTTTTTATTTGAGACAGAATCTCTCCAGTTGTGCAGGCTGGCTGGCCTCAAACTTGTGATCCTCCTGCCTCATCTCCTGAGTGACTGGGATTTTTTTGTTGTATTCCTGAGTGGCAAAAAAAGCATGCTTTATGAAAGTGCCTATATATTAGAATAAATTCTGTTTCACTGTTTCTAGTAAGAGTCACTAATAGAGGACAAAAGATATAAAGAAATTCCAAGATTTAAAAAAAGGAACAATCAAACACAGCTGAATAATCAAATCTACCCCTTCCACAACCTAAATAAAATAACAAGGAACAATGATTTTCTAAGTACTGATTTTGCTTACATCCCAATAATAGGAAATGGGTACTGTCAAGTTTTTCATCAGAACAATGTATTTTCCAGTTTAAATAAAAATAATCTTTCTGACATACAGGCATGCTTTCTGAATGTTTATAGTTGTTTCCAAGGTCAAATATATATAAATTATCAGTGTTTCAGATTTTCAAAGATATTTGATATAGAAAGCAAACTGCAACTCTACTTAATTCCTTTCTAAACTTTTACTCCATCTTGTGGAGGCAAAGGGTAAAATAAGAATTTTAAAAGCTTCGAAGAAACTTCAAAAGTAGTACATTTTAAAATCAATAATGCCATAATTATATATTCTATAACACCTCAGGTGTAGCTTATTCATATCTAGAAATTGAATTAAAATTAATAGAATCACTGTAAATTGTGCAGTGTAATGAACCTCTTCAAAGACTGCCAACTTTTTATTATGTGAAGATTAAAACAAAAGCAACTCTACCATCTACTTTTACCATCTTTTATTTGTAAAAGGATATTTTGACTTCAAAGAGTAGGAAATAAAAATTAGTATAATGGCCAGTATAAAACTCATCTCATGCTTATTATTATTTTCATTTCATGCTGGAACAGTGGAAACCCCACTAAGTATGTTAGATTTGGGGAATGTCTGTTCTAAGTCATGCACCTCACAATGAGGACTCAGCATATTCCTTTACACTGAAAGTACCTCTACATGTGTCTTATCTCCTATACTGTACTATACTCACAGCACCTTGTATTTTAATTTTCTCTACCCGAGGGAGTTAGACATGGGTCAGGAAACATCAGGCTCAGGAATTAGAAAGTACCCCGAGGTATCTCCATGTTCTAGATATCCTCCACACCATCACTGGGAGGAGTGAACAGGTGACCCCTAATCTGTATGCTCTCAGTAAGCCCCTCACCCCTTGCATCACCCAAGAGTCAGTCCAAATACGATTTGAGACTCTCAAGTCTATCTCATTATGTCCATTAAAATCCCTGTATGACTCCTTTCCCTCTGTCCCTTTCATACGCCCTCGCCCATTCTTAGTCAACAGTTGAAATCCTGTAATAACATCTGGAACTCCTACTTAGTCTCTAGCAAAATCTCCCACTTAAAACATCCCCTTCTAAACTTCTCCTGTACTTTTTTGCTATAGCCGAACTCCAAAAGGCTATCCTCTGCAGCTTTCTGAGACAACTGGTCATTTCAGGGTTGTTGTTTTTTTTGTTGTTGTTTTTTTTCGGTACTGGATTAAACCCAGGGACTCAGGACCTTTGCACTGAGGTACATCCCCAGTTCATTTTCTTTTGATTTGAGACCAAATTTCTCTTTATATGAGACAGAATCAAATTTGTGATCCTCCCTCTTCAGTCTCACATGTGACTGAGATTTTCTGTTGTATTCCTGAGTGGCAAAAAAGCATGCTTTATGAAAGTCCCTATAAATTAGTATAAATTCTGTTTCACTGTTTCAAGCAAGAGTCAGTAGCAGAGAGCAACAGCCTCATTTTTTTTTTTTTTCTAATTTTGAGTCAGGGGCTTGCTAAATTGCCCAGGCTGGGCTGAAACTTGTAACCTTTCTCCCTCAGCCTTGCAGAGCGGGTATTATTGGAATGTACCACCATGCCTGACAATGATTTGTTTTTCATTTCTCACACAACTTGTATCAGTGGGCCTGGGGTTGAAATTAGGTGTCTTTGTTGGTATTCCAACACTCTTAACTGCCCTCTTTCCTAAAACAACTCTAATTCTGAAACTTACATCACCAGCCTGAAGCAGTGCGGTTCTATCAGGGGCAACACTGCCCCTTCCTATTCTCCTCCCTTGGGGTATATGTGGCAGTGTGTGAAGACATTTTGGTTGTCACAACTGAGGGAATGCTAATGGCACTATTACACAGGACTGAGGCCAGGGACAACAGTAAACATCCTACAATGTACAGGACAGCCCCCCACCCAATGATCTGGTCCAAAAATGTTAATGAGGAGATTGAGAAAAACTGCTCTATTTTACTCATTAATGCCACCTGCAGGACACTCATCTCCTGCATCAATTTGTCTTGATCATTCCAACTGGTACATAAACACGCAATAATATCTCTCATTTCAAAAAAAGTATTTTCTGACCTCACTCTTCCCTTTGGGCAATCACTGTCTTTCTTAGCTATCCTACACAGAAAAACATTTTTACAGTTCTTTTGTTTGTTTTGGGGTGGTTTTTTTTCTTTGTTTTTTGAGACAAGGTCTCCATATGTGTAGCTCGGGCTGCCCCTGAACTCATGGTGATCTTCCTGCTTCAGCCTTCTGAGCGCTGGGATTACTGGCATGTGCCACAACGCACTTTTCCAGTTTTAAAATGTTCCTCTATCTATTCTCTCTTAAAATCATTTCAATGTTTTGCTCCTGTAGTATGGAATCTGCTTTTATTCAAGTCACTAATGACCCTGATATGGTCATGTGGACAGATGACTTCTTAGTCAACAGCTTTCCTTGCCTCCTCCTTGAAACACGTAATTCATTAGCTTCCAAAAATAACACAGATATAGTTCTCATATCTCACTGGCCACTCTTTCCCATACTACACTGCTGGTTCCTACTCAGAAACCTGACTTTTAAATGTAGAAGGCCCTCAGAGTTCAGTTCTTGGTACTCCACTTTTTTCTATCTATATTCATTCTCCAGGTGATCTCATTGTGTGTGTGTGTGTGGTGCTGGGGATTAAAACCAGGGCCTCAAGCATGGTTTTAAGCATAGACAGGTGCTATACAACTAAGCTACTAGGCTATGTCCTCAGCTCCTCATTTTTATTTGTGTTTATGTATTACTGGGGATTGAACTCAGAGCCTTTGTTTCCCTCCCTCTTTTAATTTTGAGGCAGAGTCTTGCTAAGTCACTAAGTTGCTTGGGCTGGGCTGGAATTTGTGATCACCCTGCCTCAGGCTCCCAGAATGACAGGATTACAGGAATGTGCCACCACATACAGCTTCCATTTCCTTTTATATGCCGTTCCAGACAATCTTTGCAATAATGATACTATTATATACTACAATCCCTGGGCTAGGAGTTAGTAAACTAGTGAGTATCTTAGAGCCAATGACCTGGGTTCAAATTCTTTGACCTCTATGTGTTAATTTTCTATCACATGAAGACTATTCTGCTATTACATACTATTTGATAGAAATTACCTGTGTATATATTTATTTTCTTTCCATAGCCTTTGAAGATTGGGGCTATTTATCTGTGCTTATCACATGCCAAACACAATATTTAGCTGATGAATATATGCCAAGTAAATACAAATTTTTTGCATTATGCATAAAATTAGACATGGAGAATTACTTCAGAAAACTTAGAATGTAATATAAAAAGTACTACTTATTTTTACCATGAGGTTTAATTGATTCTCAGAGAAAAGGGAGCAAATGGAGCTTTTCTCATCGGGGAGAAAAAAATAGACACACAGCACAGAGTCCACTAAAAAATGTATACACACTTTAGGGAAGGAAAAACAGTATGATGTTTTTTCAACCGATGGTGTCACCCTCCTATGGGGACCTTAGAGGATGTCATATACTACAGAAAACTCACTACACTGCTGGCCTTTAGAGAAGAAATTCAAAATGTATGTGCAGCAATCTCAATGACCAAGGTAGCCTAAGCAGCAGTTCACCATATTAATAAATGCCTGGAAGCTAATGGCCTCCATTTTGAGCACCTCGTGTATTTGTAGAAGCCAAAGGTAACTTGCATTAATCTTACAATGTAATAAATTTAGTATTAAAATATTTATACAAGTTTTTCTTTTCCTGAAGTGTGTATACATTTTCTTGGTGGACTGTGTATATGTAAATACATTATGTATTTTTTTTACTTATTCACTATAAAAATTTACAAAGATATGCTTATTTTCCTTCATCCTTTTACCTCATCATTGTCAAAAATACCACTAATATATCCTATAACTTAAAGATCATAAATTTGGAACTTTAAACTTCAACGCTTCACTCTTTTCCAACATCCACAACACTAATTTTTATTCATATTTTTTAGCTTCATCCTTCTCTTCTTTGTTTCTGTAGCATGGTGTTAGTTTAAAATTAAGGGCACCACTGAATGTTACCAGATTTGGGTAGTAAGTACTGTACTTATCCTCTTACCAGTACATCATGCACCAATGCTTGATATGTCCAAGTATGGTGTAAAGGAGTTGCCAAATCTATGTTTCTGTCAACGAGGACTAATAAAGGCCTTTGGAAGCTGTAAATATATTAAAAACAATTTTTTGATAGCAATTATACACTTACAGTTTTCTAATACTTTGTATGTGATATTTAGCAACTTGATAAAAACAGAATGCTAATACTGAACCTCTATAATACTTTACATTTCTTTTTAATATGGTCAGTTAATGAAAATGGAAATGGATTGGACTCCTCAGAACCTATAAATAATGTTAGATCGTACATCTTACTCAGGAAAATTTCTTAAAGGGAAAAAAGTCTACATGAATACATTTACAGAATAATTTTTGTAGTAAAAACAAATTGCTTCTAAAATATAAAATATACATTTCATATTTTTCAAAAAGGCCAAAAAGAACACTTACTGTCAGATTCAGGAAAAAAATTTAAAAAGAATACAATCTCATAAATATACACAAATGTTTGACAGTTTCATTAATTACAAATTACAATGTTTTATACATACAAATTCAAAAAAGTAGACTCTAGAGCTCTAGAGCAGTAGTGGTGAACCTATGTCACATGTGCTGCAGTGGGCTGTTTGTATCATTCAAAGGTCTAAAAGGCTTGCCATCACTGCTCTAATGCCTCAAAAACCTTATCCCACTATAATATACAAATGAAAACATCATGTCACAATAATATTGAATTATATAATTATTTACTTAACAGACAAGGCATGTGACTCTTCATAAACTTTAACTTCATTATTAACTACTAAGAGAAAACCGAGGCACAAAGTTATGCAGTTATCATGTGTCTACAGAAATTTTAGGGATTTTCTTTAAAGGTACTATTGTTAGCAGAAGCACATGCCAGTTACAGTAAGGACATGCCACTTTTCAATAGTCTCTACTATCTGATTATATTAGCTACACATTTCTTCCTGCAACAGATCTTGGACCATTTTAGTTAACTCACTACCATTTTCTGGATATCTCCACTGACTATGGGCTAAAAATTCTAAGTGGCACTCTTACCACTTACTGTCATTTATTATTCCACAGTGAGGCGGAAGGGAAGGGATGATGGCCTACAGCAGGATTTCTTAGCTTTGGCACTAATGACATTTGGGGCTAGAAATTCCTTGTTATGGGGTTTGTTCTGTACCTTGTAGGAAGTTTAACATTGTATGACACTGCTAAGCATTTACAATTCACCTCACTAAATTTTATCTACCTAGCTGTGACGACCAAAAATGCCTCTAGACATTATCAAATGTCTATGGGGGACAAAACTGCCTTGGTTGAAGATTCACTATAGTTGTATTCAGCAACAATAGTTCATCAAGTTGCTGATTAAATTCACAAATGCATCCAACAAATTAATAAACAACTATACTATGACAAAACAATTTAATAATTATTCAAATAAAATAGTGCCTTTATATTGGTTTCAAAGGTCTATACCAAAGCACTATAAAAGGAAATTATGACAGTGTTTGCTTCTGTTAAAATAAAAGCAAGTGACAATTGGACATTTCTGTTCTGCTTAATTTAGACAAACACTCTGAAAAATACTCAAGATCAGCAATGAAATCAGAAGGCAGTTTAAATAATGGAGGAACTGAGGTGGCTAAAAATTTGAAACACAATGTTATGAATTTTAAATTATAGCACTATATAAGGCTATAGGAGGCATCAAAACTGACTTGAAATGAAGTACAAGGTATGATAAAAAATATGGTGAATGTTTAATTTTTAAAAAAATTATTACAGTAAAAAACACATTGCCATTAAGCCCCCTCAAAATACTCCCCGTTTCTTTGAACACATTTATCCCATCATTCTTGCCACTTTCTGAAGCAGTTCTGCAGGTTCTCTTTCGTGAGTGTCATTAGTTGCGCTGTTGTGGGTATCTTAATGTCCTGAATAAATTTGAAACCTTTACCTTTCATGGTCGTTTTGAAGAGCCAAAAAGTCGCACACTGCCTGATCTGTGAGGTTATTGAGGACACACCTGCCTTTCCAATGATGTCACTCAACAGCAGCATTCACCATATTTTTTTTTTTTTTTTTTTTGTTTTTGGTACCAGGGATTGAACTGGGGACCTTGCACTTGCTAGGTAGACGCCAGAACCACTGAGCTAAATACCTGGCCCAGCATTCATCACATTTTTAATCACATGTTATAAAGACACAAAGACTTTCAGAATTGTTTCAGAAAATGGCAAGAACAATATGATAAACGTGCCTTTCATGGTATAAATTTTAATTCAAATATTCATTGTATACTTTGATCACCCCTTGTGTATGGCCTAGTTATAAAAGTTTCATTGCTGGAGGGCTATTATTTTCTGGGTATCATGTTTTTTTCTCCTACAGCCTTTATTTATTAATTCATGTAAGCTGAGGATAAGAATGAATTTTCTACAATCCTGCCTCTGCTTAGCAATTCTCAGCCCTTTGAGTAGGTTTCATTTCAATGAAATGTACTATTATGTATAGGGTTTTTTAGTATTCTTATTCAAAAACATTGACCAATTACTTTGTATTACCTACTCATGCTAGAAATGGTAACAATGAAAGAAATTCTTTGCAACATTATTAGTATTCAAATGTAAAATTGGAAATTTAATATAAAAACAGGTGAGTATCGAGTTTTTCTATTGTTTTTAATACCAAGAGGTTTAATAACCAAAAAGAAATGGCTTCTGATCTTCAAATCTATATGAATAGTTTTTTATAGTGAAAACTTTCTTTAATAGTGATAAAATGTAATAGAATATTCTACCAAAATAAGATAAATTGAACGAATATTCCATTTGAATTTCTTTTCTTTTTTTTTTCTTTTTTTTTTTTGGTACCGGAGATCGAACTCGGGTCCTTGAACTTGTGCAGCAGGTGACAAAACCACTGAGCTAAATCCCTGGCCCCTATTTGTATTTCAAGAACTATCTGAGTCAAAATCTTGAACCTGATGACCTGATTTAAAATAAAAAGAAACAAACTGTTACCACAAGTATAAGGATATTCTATCATATAAGAAAAACAACAATAAAAACTCTACACATTTTATTTCCAAGTCTTGTAAGTATATTAACATAATACCTGAACTGGCCAGCTCCCAGTGTGTCACCTGTAAAAAGACTATTTCTTGCATCTCTTAGATTTTCCCGAAGTTTCTTATCTAGTTTCTGAAAAATCAAATTTTAGATTAACTCAATATTTTCTTTTAACTTTATGTAGGGTAATACATTGTATTTTTAGTTTCATAACCAAGAAGGTTGGAATAGCTCTATAAAATAGCAACTCTAAAATCTGAGCATTTTAGCTCCTTACCTATTTCAATACCATCATAACTTGTACTTGTAGCTGGGATTACAGATATATGCCACTACATCCAGCTAATCAGCACTCTCCATTGCCCAATTTTACTTGAGGTACAGGAAACATTTGCAGTAATGACTCATGCTCTCTCTCTCTAAGCATGACTTTCTTATAAACAGATGCCTGACTAAATGGAAAGAATGGTGATTTGAGTGACTGGGAGTAAAGAGTACAGGGTACAATAATCCCAAAATGGATACGGGAGTATGTGAAGGAAATCAGACTTCCAGCAGTCAGTAAATCAGTTGAGCTAATAAAGTTTCAAAATGTCAAGGAATTTTCTAGTCTTTCCACATTACTTACTCTCTTTTTCAGTACTTGTTTAAATTTTCTTTTATTTCTTAATCTTTACAGAATATTTGTGAATATTCAATTTATACTGAACATCTTATACTCCAATAGAGTGGGACATTTTTAAAATGCACTTCACCCCATTTAAAAAATGGTTATGTTTAACAATAAATACTTGCTAAATGAAACTTAATAATATATAATTTGGGGAAGAAATAAGTATAGTAAGTTGAATGAGTACTATAGATTTTAGCAAAAAAAAAGGAAATAGGTTGGAATGATTGCTTTCCATCTTCAGTGGAATCCCAATGTAATAAAATATCTGTAACTAGTACTTAATATATAACCTACAGTAACCAGGTGCTTAATATTAACAAAAACATTTGAGAGGTTTCTGAAAAACACAGTATTAATTTATACTCAAGTGATGGATGCATGAACTCACCACTGACACCATTTCTGCTGCAGTTCCTCTTGAACATCTGATGATAGGAACAGCACCTATTTTCAGAATATTAGCAATGATTTTAGCTCTTTATTAAAATGAATATTTATAAAATACGTCAGCATCAAAAAATAAGACTAGGTATATATAGTTTCAGGTTACAGACATAAAAGGACTTATAATCTCAAGACGAAAGCAAGGTTTCAGAAATGAACTCTTCTCATTTATGAAAACAGGCAGAAAAAACTTTATATGGAGCTGAACAGTATAATCCATTTTTCTCAATGAACTGACTTAATCAGTATTTTGACTGCTTTTAAATAGTTTTAAAAAGTAACAGTATTTTCAGAGAAATCACTTTAATTTGAGTAAAAGTAAGAATGAAAGAAGCTTAGCTAATTTTGTAGTTTAGATTGCTAGTTTTTATTTTACAAATTAACAATAGAGCATCTTAATCTTTTAAAATTTAAAAGATAACAGAAATTTTTTTTCATGTAACATGAAATGCTCCTAAAACTTGGCCACAATTTGTTACCAAATCAACTCACTGGCCCTCTTTTTTTTTTTTTTTGGGCCCTCTTAATTTCTCTCTTCTTTTATTACTGCAAATAAATGTTACTAAAAGCTAAAAAAATAAAATTCAATTGCATTGAAAAATCTTAAAATGAAACAAACTTGAGAACACTGTAATCATGTGCCAAAATTGTTGCATTTCAGATTTTATAGCAAAGTACACTATGAACTGCAAAGTAAAAATGTGGAATATTAGCAAATTTGTAAAATTTTTGTTTTATTCTGATGGCCTAGGTCAGTGATGGTGAGCCTTTTAGGGCTTTCAATGACACAGCCTGCTGTGGCACATGTGCCATAGGTTCACCACCACTGGCCAAGGTTATATATGTTTGACATAAAAAAATTTAAACAACATTAGAAATGCAAAAAGTTAACTCTCTGGATTCTAGGTTCTCCAAAACAATCCACATTAAGTTACAAATAGATGCCTTCCTTTTGTTTTTCATATGCTCTAGTAAGTGGGAGTATGTGTGTATATGTATATGTTTGTGTATTAAAAAACAAAAATAGGATATTATACATATTATTCTGAAAATTGCTTTTTAAAATTTAAAAATTTAGCGTCAATATTCTTTGTCAAGAGTGCCAGTATGTTCAATTTCCTCTTTGAAAAATAATCACTTTTCCTACTCTACACATAAAGGTGTTTGTAAAGACTCAGTGGTCATTATAAATCTCTTTCCCATTTTACTATTACTTTGAAATCATATCATGTATCACCAAGCAAAATAATGTGCATGCCCACAATAACCCTAGCAACAGGCAATTACATAGGATGGCGAAACAGAATGATGATTATGTTTGCTTAGTGAGTAAAAGTTATATACATGTGCTTTTTTAAAAAAACAATAGCTAGGTGCAGTGGTGCATGCCTGTAATCTCAGCACTTGGGAGGCTCAGGCAGGAGGATTGCTCCAAGTTTGAGGCCAGCATGGGCTACATAGTGAGTTCAAGGCCAGCTTGAACCGCATAGTAAGATCCTATCTCTTGTTTTTTTGTTTGTTTGTTTTTTTGGTACCGGGGATTGAACTCGGGACCTTGCGCTTGAGAGGCAGGTGGCGGAACCACTGAGCTAAATCCCTGGCCCAGCAAGATCCTATCTCAAAAAATAAAATAAAATACAACAAAACCCAACCCATTTGAGGGCACTGAGCCCAAGCAGAAATTTGACAGAGATAAAACTCTTTAAAGAAGTGAATCAAACAAGGTGAGCTACATGTTATCAAGCTTTTCTGCTGAAGATACTTTCTACTTTCCATGACACAGGACAAAGCATAAGCAGAAAACAAGAGACTTACTGAAGTGAGAAATAAAAGGGTTGGAAGTTCAAGGGAAAAATCTCTGAAAGTGAGCCCTAAACCGCACACAAATTCTCCTTAAATATTTGTCTAAATCTTATACTATGCATATCTTTTCTTTAATTTTCTCATTTGTGAAATGGAAAGAGTTTATCATTCTATGGTAAGGATCATTTTAATTAAAAGGTTTTTTAAGTGCCTACGAAATTAAAATTACAATCAGGTTTCTAAACAGATCTATTAGTAATGGTAAGCATAAAGACATACATTAAACATTAAATAAAATGTAGCTATAGGCAATTTTAGATAATTCAAGGAAATGTTTAAAATTTTTAATATATAGGTAGATTAGCATTATAGGTAAATTTAGTGTTCTCTGGTGGCTTTAGAATTTGCCTCAATAATTTGCCTGGTAATAATTACCAGGCATATATCTTTCTATTTAAAAGGATGTTTGAAATATTTTATAATGAAATATTTTTAAAAAGCTAACAGGCACATAGGTGAATTTGTCATCAAACTACGTAAACAATATATTAGAAAGTTACAATTACCAAAGACATCTAAGGAAATAACTCAAAAAAACTGCGGAATGATAACTCAAGAGGATTAAGCACATCAAAGTATCAGAACTGGGTTTTAAAAAATAGTAGAGATGGGACAGGGATGTACTTAGTGGCGCCGTGCCTGCCTGGCAAGCTCAAGGTCCTGAGTTCAATCCCTGGTTCCACAAATAAAAAAATAAAGAGAGAGAAAAACAAAACAGTAGAAAATGTATACTTTACTCCAACTTTGGAGAGATGCTACAGAGTCAAATAGGTGAAAGGATCACATTACAGTGTTACAGATTAAAGTAAGTTGTTAAATATTTATTTTGAAGAATAGCCAGAAAGATTTGAAAACTTACCCAGTGTAACAAAAAAGCAGAAGAGGCTGTCAACAATAGTGTCCATAACTGTTTCCATTTCTGTGTCTGTGATATCTGGTCTATTAATAGCTAAAATGACAGCAGTAAAGGAGAAAAGTAATGACTAAAATTTATTTCTTATATTTATTAAACTCTTAAATTACTAATTAATATGCAGTTAGATAACATAATACTTGAGTGAAATTTTCAGTTATAAGCTTGCATACATTAAAAATTATACATTAAAAAACCTTACAAATAAAAACCACATATAGGGCCAGGGATTTAGTTCAGTGGTTCTGCCGCCTGCCTTTAAAAACCACATATAAAAACCATCTCAATATCAGAAGAATGGTAAAAAAGAAAAAAATTTCACCATACAAACTATATAAAATTTTTACCAGAGCCAATAGGAAAATAAGTATTATAATCCATAATTTTATTCATAAACACTAGATGGCCTCAAGAAATCACTGATCCTATTAACCAAAAATGCCAGAAAAAGATAATGTAAATCAATAAGGCAGAACCAACAACACATATCATTTTCTTTGTATTATAATAAGCTACATGAAATTCTTTTCTAATTCTTAAGACTGTACATAAGTAGTTCCCACATTTTAGGAGGTGAAAGAATTACTCTGGAATTTAGGGGAAGAAATAAAACTATTTCTAGAGACTTAAAGGTTAAAGCATCTTAGCCCTTTCCACAGGGATTCAATTCAATAGATGGGAGATAGATAATTCTAAGAAATAGGCAATTGTGACAAACACCTCCAGAGGGTTCTAACCCAAAGAATCCTAAGGCTACAGTTTAAGAAACACTGCTGTGAAGAATATCCTTGAGAGTCAAAGACTGATTTATTTTTTTCTCTTTCACAAAATGTAGGCTTAGTATCTGACAAAGCAGATGCTCGCTAACCATATGTGGAAGGACTGATCTAAAATTTTATCTACATAGTATTTTTAATTTGCCAAATACCTTGAATACAAAAAGCAAATGTAAAATTTTAATGTAACTTGGGCTTATCATGAGAGGAAAGCAGAATCTAATTTGATATATCAAAATATTTAAAGAAAGTACGGTCTGTCAGGAAAACATAAAATTAACAGAGTTCAAGCAGGCAACAGAATTGAGATGGGAGAAATGTGCTGTCATTAAGATGTTCCATGCTGTCCTTAAAATGTTCCATACTGTCATCTATCCAAATCAGATGAAACAAATGGCAAAAGGATACAATGTGAATTACTTGATTTCACAGAACATGAATTCTGTCAATAATCTGGCAGCAGTATAACCTACAAAGAAGCACTCAGCCCTTTAGCCCTAAATCTAGCTTCGTCCCTATGAATGAGAAATAATTTTAAGTCACAAACTGTCCATTAGTAACTTCAACACAACTTGAGACAAAAGCTGCTCTGTCTGAGACAACTGTCTCAGTCTATGATGAGAAATTTGCTTCCTTTATTAAGTCGCAAATCCATAGGGCAGAATTAAAGATAGGGAATAAAAATCAAATCATGGTATTAACACAAGTTTAAGAATATCTGTTTAACATTTTGGTTAAAGCACTTACACTGCTTGAGAAAATGTGGTATACGATTACACAATAGTTAAGGACACTAACTATTACTAGAGGGTGCACGCGCTATTTCTGGAGTAATCCAGCTCTGCCACTTCCTGATCCAAAAGTAAAGGTGCTTGTTTTTTTAATAGCTATGCCTCATTTTTCCACTCTGGAAATTGGAAGTAACAATACCTACTGCCCAAATGTCTTCTCATGTACAAAAGAGCTTATACAGTAAAGTGCTTAGAACTGATTGCCAGAAAACAAGCAATTACAACTATTATTACTATCTGGGTGATTAGCCATGTGACTAAAATTAGTAAATAATTTCAGACTTGGGATTTTTTTTAAAGTTGACAGATAAAGGAAAATTTAATTACATTTCTAAGCATATGAACATTCATTATATGACAGACTCATTAAAATATACTTAATTTTAAAGAATTATGTATTTGGGTAGCTTTTGCTTGATTTATAAATTTATCCGGTTTAACATATGAAGTCTTTAAAAAAATGTACTAAATTATAAATGCAAAATATTAAGAGAATTTAAAAAATTAAATTTGATTAACTTGTTAAAGGGGACTGATTAGAAGACTAATTCAATTTCAATTTTATTCAATTTGAGTTAACTAACCAAGAAAAAGTAAAGGTGCATGTTTTTACTAGATTTTTAAATAATATAACAAAATTTGTAAATTTAAGAAAAACTAGGCTTTAAACATGTAACTTAAGTAATTTGCTAGTTTATTTAAAATTCAATTAATTGTGAATGGAGTTCTATGAATAACCACCACCACCAAAAATCTCTCACATGGACAGCTCAGCAAATTCTTACAGTCCTCCAGGAATTTTGTTTAATTTCATCAAGAAAGCATGCTACAAAATATAGATCTCAAAGAAACCAAAGGGTCTTCTCTCAGAGAGTTTACCATCTGGGCCAATTTTTTTAAGTACCCAGAAGTAAAACATCTTATTTTTGTCTAAGGTTATATGAGACAGCTCTATCCTGCATTAATATATTGTCTTAATGGCCTTGGTGGTGCATTCCTTGTAATCTCTGCAGTCTGGGACGCTGAAGCAATAGGATTGCAAGTTTGACCTCTGAGTAGGGACATTAGTGACTTAATGATATCCTGTCTCAAAATAAAAAATTTAAAATCTCAGCAGTCTGGGAGGTTGAAGCAATAGGATTCCAAGTTTGACTTCTGTGTGGTCACATTAGTGACTTAATGATATCCTGTCTCAAAATAAAAAATTTAAAATAAAGAATTGCAATCCTATTTTTACATACCACGATATGAAACAAGTTCCTTATTTTGATTACATAATACAAACATATCATCCTCCAAAGTAATAAAATTGAGATACTGATCAAAAACCTAGAAACAAAAGAAAAAAAATTTGTAATGAATTTTATCATACATTCATATTAAAAGTAAATTTAATTTGATTAAACCTACTAGTAGTAAAAATGAGGAAAATTCTAATTCCATTCAATAACTAAAAATTGTACTTTGTGGTAGCCTGGCTAATGGGGTAAAAAAATGAGTTAAGAATATTAAAAAACAATGAAAACATTAAGTATCAAGGAAGAGAATATTTTCAGAAAACAAAATTTAAGCAGTATAAAAACTTTGTGACTATAATGAAGATGGATACTAATTGTGATGGAAAACCACAATTTTAAGTTTTATATTTATTGTAATTATATGTTCCCAAAAAGTCACACTACCTGTTTTTATACAATATGTTTTAGTATATATAGCACAGAAAAGTTATGCCAGTTCTTAAGTACAAATGAAGAGAAAAATTAAATTTAAACTGAAAATCGTTTCTACTATTTTATGTAAAATGCCAACTGGTTTTTTTTCCCCCGGTACCAGGGATCGAACTTGGGACCTTGTGCTTGCGAGGCAGGCAGTGGAAAAATCCTCAGCCCCCATATTTTATGTAAAATGAATGAGAAATTTTGAGCAAGAACATTAAGGTAGAAACCCTAAAAATAATCAGAAGTAGTAGCAGACTATCTAAATTTAAGAATGAAAAATCTACCAGTGGACAAAAATATGGGAAGTCCTATACAGTTCCATAGACTTTTCATTTATTTCTGTTTCATATTTAAGAAGCACAGGGCACAAGAAAGCTAAAACCAGGAATATATTTTACAAATTTATTTATAACTTAAGTAGAACATGTCTAAAGATTACTATAAGATTGTTGGCTCATTGCAACCCCTTTCTGTCTTATAATACACTACATAGCCTCTTTGGATCCTCTCAATACATTCCCACCAGCTTGAACCACCAGGGGAACGCATGCATGATTGTCCCATTGTGTGACTTGTACCACTGGCGGTACAAACAGATCTAATCACTTTTATCAGTCTTTTTACTAATAAAATAAAAAGCCACCTGATGGGATAGTCGTGTATGTATAACCAGTGGTTTAAGGCACCCAGAATTACAGCCCTGTGGTGAATGTGTTAAGAAAAGACGTGGAGATAATATGTTGACAACAGTATTATAAACAAAACAATGTCAATATATTCTGAATACAATTTATGACAACACAATTGTGAAACTGTTTCTAAACTGAGCTATAAAGACTATCATCTTTTTCTAGTTTAAGGCGAAGATAATTTACATTACCGGAACTCATTCTAGAAGTATTGAATCTAACCATTTTTTATTGTTCTGGTCATTTGTAAAATAAGATACGTATGTCAATTAACAGCTTTCAGAATACTGTTAAATATTACATTCACAAAATGTCATTCATCGACCCAAATCACTTACCTTTGCTACTTGTGTTACTGCACTAGCTGCTAATGCTGCATTTGCAATATCTTCCAATTTACTTCTTGAAATAGCAGAAATAAAATTTAAATAATATGATTCATACAGCTGATTACGAAGATCCTATAAATACAATAAATATTTCATTCTTATAGAATTCTATAAAGAAATAGCATAAATAAAAATCTTTAAATACTATAAAAATAAGGTTTTGGAGGATAAGACATATAAAGACAGGTTATATAACTGACAAAAAAGTATCCTAAGAGAACAAAGTTATGAAGAAGTACTGGCTATCTGGTCACTGAAACTTATCTTAACAAAGTTATAAAATTATATTAACAGATTCCCATTGACTGCAATATACCATAGCACAAAACTAATGTGAAATAGTCTCAGTGTATTTTTTCTTAAAAATATCCAGGAGTAGACACTATACTATCTAACATAATGAAATGCTTATTATATTTGGTAGAGACTAACTTCTGCTGGTCATGTAATCACACAACAAATACTTCTGTTACTGCACACAGAAGTGTTATAATTCCAATTATCAATTACAAAAATATTTCTTTTCAATCACTGAAAAGTAGTGCGATTTAAGCTATGCAAATTCTTAAATATAATTATTAAACTCTAGGCATAGATATTTAAATAACTATATTTCCTCAAGTCTAAGATATTATCAATTATAACAAGCATAATCATTCATCTATCACTAAGTAATAACGAATGCTACCAATAAAATTTTATGACACATGATGAATTTTAGGATGCATTTAATTTCAGAGATGTTAAAATGTGAGAAACTGAGGGGCTGGAGCCTGTGTGAGGCAAGAAGCTCAGCAGGGCAGTGGTTCAAAAGGGGTAGGGAGATTAGTTATGCAGAAAGACTAAGTAAATATATTCAGGGTACTGGCAAGCATGTCTCTTAGTGTTAGAGTAAAGAGTTGCAAATTTATAAAGGGAAAAAGGAGAAGCTAGACTAAATCATATGTTGAAGAATACAATGATTGTGCAGGTTATCTATTTAGACAGGTGGGGAGGAGAAGGAGATTTATAGAAATAAGTGCAGATACAAAACTGTATGTGTGCGCCTGTGTGTGTGTGTGTGTGTGTGTATACGTAGGTACGTATTTCCTACTTTTGTCCATTGAGAGGAACTAAAACTGGCACCAGTTATGCCTAATGCTTAGAACCTAATTTTTAAAAACCATTCCTTACAGAAAACAAGGCTCCTTTAACAAACAGCTGAATTCATGGGTGGCCAAAGAAATTACAAAATGCAACTGGAATATCTTATGCCAGAAAGAAAGTGGTCAGAGAATGATTGACACATTTCTAAAGGACACAGAAGTTCAGTAAGGTGGTAGGATGCAAGAGAAGTATATAAAAACTCATTGGATTTGTATACACTTACAATGAACAATCCTAAAAGTGGAATTAAGAAAACAATTCAATTTATTAAAAAATATGAAGAAATGTATCTAACAAGAGAAGCACAAATATTATATTTTAAACACTACAAAACATTAAAAGAAATTAATGAAGGTTTAAATTGATAAAGCTATACCATGTTCCTACATCAGAAATTACATAATTGTTAACACTGTATTACTAAGAAATTAATCTACAGATTCAACATAATCTCTATAAGAACCTCAGTTGGCTTCTAGATACAGAATCGGACAAGCTAATCCCAAAATTTATTAGAAAATTTAAAGGACTCAGAATAGCCCAAATAAAATTTGGCAAATGATTACAATGAAATATTGACCATAGAAAGGAATAGTAGCCAGGTGTCATGGTACAAGACTGTGATCTCAAATACTTGGAAGACTTAGGCAGGAGGACTGCAGGTTCAAAACCAACCTGAGCAAACTAGTGAGCCCCAGTCTCAAAATCAGAAAAAAGAAAAAAAAAAAAAGGGCTGGTGATGCATCTCAGTGGTAGAGCATACTTGCTCTGTATGTGTGAAGCCCTGGGTTCAATGCACAGTACTAAGAAGAAAAAAAAAAACCAAAAACGAAACAAAGATAAACCCTGAAAACATTAAGCTAAAATAAAGAAGTTAGATACAAAAGATCACATATTATGAGATTCTGATCATATGTAATGGCCATAATATGCAAATCTATAGGAACAGAAAGTAACTTAGGGACATGAGAGGGATAAGAGTGGGGTCAGAGATATAAAAGTTAAAGGGCAAATGTCTTTCTGAGGTGACAAAAATTGACGGTGGTAATGTCTGCACGATTTTGTAAATACACTAAAAATCATCACCTATACAATTTAAATGGATAAATTGCATGGCATGTGAATTACATTTCAATAAAGTTGTTATTAAATAAAAAAGGAAGGAGGAAGAGACTGGTAATATAGTACCTCTTTAAAAAAATGGCATAGGTTTGTGCAGGGTAAAAGAGGAATATGGTTATCATAACCAAGACACAAAGTATGTGACCTTCACTAACAATTTAAGCAGCAATTTGATTCAAGGGTCAATAACAAGTAAAGTTATTGTGACTTGTGGCAGATGCTGGTAACTACCTATCCAACATCCATTTAATCCCTTTTCTTTGGTAAAAGAATCCAAATTTTCTTTGGGGTGACAATACATTCATCTCACTACTAACTTTCACAGTCTCTCTTGAAGCTAATTCTACCCAGGGAGACCTAAAGGAAAGCCTTCTGGGAGTTTCTGGGAAGATTTAACTTTCTTGATCAGTGTACATTTCGGGCTGGCAGAATTCATTTACTATTTCTTCTAGCTATGAACACTGATGTGATGTCTATGTCTGCAGCTGCCACCTTATGTGAAGCAACAAGACAATGAAAACAACCTAAAATAAAGGATCAGAGAGACAGAATGAGCCTAAGTCTTTGATTATTTCATCATGTTGGTGCATGGACTTCCTACTTTCAGCCTTCCTATTATCTAAGAAAATGAAATCTTTACTTATTTATTAGTACCAGGGATCGAACTCCGGACCTTGCACTTGTGAGGCAGGCTGCCGGCAGCACCACTGAGATAAATACCCAGCCCTGAAATCTTTATTTTTAAAGCTAATATAGTTAAGCTTTCCGTTTTGTAAAGCTGACTTGGTTTTCACCAATACATTGGTTCTTGGGACCAAAACATTTAAAATCATTAGAGCTATTTAAACTTCAAAGATGGTCTCAAAAATCAAAGTGAGAAACTGAGTAAGGGAAGTTTTGATTCTTTACACTGTATATCTAAAATATTCTGTGAAAAAAGTTTGAGTTGATATTCATGTATCAGGTAGGATAAGAATGCATATTACGAATCAGCCCGCTGCACACAGGAAGGTCTGTGCACGCCCTACCAAGGTCCTGAGTCTTACGGAAGACACCGAATCACCCCGGTGCAGACAAGCAGCCACCTGGTTCCACACTACAAAGGCACAAAGGACCCCAGACCACCAGACCAAGGTACTGAGTCCCACTGTTCCCAGCTCAGAGGTA